TTCCACATCTGAGCTGCACTTGAGGTCCTCCCTTCAATCTACTTGTTAAAAAAAAGCACTTCAGCAGCAGCTGGGGCTGGTTCTGAGCACACAGATGAGCCAAGTCCTGGGCCCTCCACATTTTGTTTGATGTCCAGTTCCCGAATCCCTGAGAGCAGGATCTAACTGAGCAGCTGTTCTTCCACCAGATGCACCAGGACAGGCTGAAACAAAATTATTGAGGAATATGAAAGCTGGCAGTTAGCACAGAGACATCATTAAACTCCTCACCTGCCACGATGAAAGGCATCCCGGGGTTTGTACCAGACTGAGAGGCTTCATGGAGCAGCTGTTTGAGATTATGAGCTAAAAACTGCTGGAGGAACAGGCAGCTTGGAAAAATGGGAACAAGGGATGATCCAGGTAATTGCCAGGAGGGAGGAGCTGGGGGGGAGTTGGGCTCTGCTCCCAGGGAACAAGGGACAGGAGGAGATCCATCCCAGATCCAGAGGGGCTCCATGGATGGCTCAGGTGGCACTTTCTCTAAATGCTAAAATAGCTGCAGCAGTAATAATGGAATATTCCCATTGGGATTATTCAGGATATACCTCCCAAAGCCCTGAAATGGCTTCACTGGAGTGTCCTGCAGCATTCCCCAGGTGCCAGATCTGGACACAAAGCTGCTGCTTAAGGTAGGAATCCCATCTTGGAGAATATTCCCCAAAAACACCGAGCTGTGTAGAGGGGTTTATGGATCCATCATCATCCATGGCATGGGGGATGATCCAAGGAGCTGGGATCTAAAGGAGAACCAGTTAATTGGGTAATTGTGCAGAACAGGGACAGGAGGAGAGGAAACGGCCTCAGGCTGTGCCAGGGGAGGCTCAGGTGGGACAGGAGGAGGAATTTCCTCCTGGAAAGGGTGGTGAGGCCTTGGCAGGGGCTGCCCAGGGAGGTTTGGAGTGCCCAGCCCTGGAATTGCTCAGAAAACCCGTGGATGTGGCACTTGGGGCTGTGGGTTAGTGCTGAACCCAGTGGTGGTGTTGGTTGATGGGCTTGATGATCTTTTCCAACCTTAATGACTCTGTGCTGAAGAGAGAAAACTTTAGAAAGTTGATTTTGATTTTTTTTTTTCTCCCTCTCCCATTCCTTTCCTTTCTTTGTGGTGCTGTTGGATGGATTTGTTTCCAGGGGGAGGGATGAG